TTTTTTTTTTTTTTTTCATTCTCTTAACAGTGACTCTCAAAGAGAAGTTACTAATTTTTATGAAGTCCAGTTTACCTGTGTTTTCTTTTATAGATCCTACTTTTATGTCATATCTAAGATATATTTTCCTAACCCAAAGTCATAAAGGTTTTCTATGTTTTCTCCTAGAATTTTATAGTTTAGGTTTTACATATAGATCTATGATCCATTTTGAGTTACTTTTAGTCTAAGTACAAGGTATGAGTCAGAGTTCCCGCGTTTGCATGTGGGTGTCCAGTGTTCTGGCCTTGTTTGTTCTAAAGCCCAGTCTTTCCCCACTGAGCTCCTTTGCGTCTTTAATGAGAATCGGTAGACCATATCTGAGAGAGATCTGTTCCTGGCTGTCTTTCCTGCCCTGTGGCTGTGTTTGTCCATCCTTACGCCAGTACCACACCATCATGGTTACTGTGCTTTTATAACAAAGCCTGATATCATGCAGTTTGTCTTCAAACTCTGCTTTTCATTTTAAAATTTGCTTTGGCTATTTCAGCTCCTTTGCATTTGAACATATATTTTTAAATCTGTTTGTTTGTTTCTACCAAAATTCCTGAAGGATTTTGACTGATATTTTACTGACCGTAGATCAATTCAGAGAGAATTGGAATCTTAATAGTATATATTTCAGTTGATAAACACAGTATATCTCTCCATTTATTTGGCTCTTAAAAACTTTTCCAGCATTGTTTTGTAGCCTTCATTATACAGGTATTGTACCTATTTTGTTAAGATTATTCCCAAATAGTATTTTGGACACTATTATAAATAGTATTTTAAATTTTTTTCAGGGGCGCCTGGGTGGCGCAGTCGGTTAAGCGTCCGACTTCAGCCAGGTCACGATCTCGCGCTCCGTGAGTTCGAGCCCCGCGTCAGGCTCTGGGCTGATGGCTCAGAGCCTGGAGCCTGTTTCCGATTCTGTGTCTCCCTCTCTCTCTGCCCCTCCCCCATTCATGCTCTGTCTCTCTCTGTCCCAAAAATAAAATAAATGTTGAAAAAAAAAAAATTTAAAAAAAAAAAAATTTTTTTTCAGTTGTTTATTACTAGTCTATAGAAATGCATTTGGTTTTTGTATGTTGTCCTTTTATTAGTCCCAGTAATTTTTTTGGTAGATTCCTTAAGATTCTATATGTTTGACCATTTTGTCTATGAATAGATTTTTACTTTTCTTTGCAAACTTTTTGTCTTTAGGAACATTTATTTTTCTGGCTATATTGCAATGTGTGTAAGATTTCCAGTTGTGTCAATAAGAGATGTTGAAAGTGGATGTGACTTGCCTTGTTTCCAACTGTGGGGGGAAGGCATCCACTTTTTCATGTTTGAATTATGATGTTAGCTGTGGGTGCTCTTCATTAGGAAGCTCCCCTTTTTTCCTGATTTCGTGAAAATTTTTATCATGGCTTTAGTTAAATGATTTTATTTTCATCTATTAAACTCATGTGTGGTTTTTCTTTTGTAGTTTGTAGTAAATTTCATTAATGTAGTAAATTTCATTGATTTTTGAATGTTAAACCAAAGTTATATTCTCAGGATAAACCCTACTTGGTTATCATGCATATTTTTTCTATATTCAGGATTTGATTTGCTAACATTTTAAAAAAAAAATTTTTTTTTTTTTGAGTGAAAGAGCATGTGTGTGAGTGGGGGAGGGACAGAGAAAGAGAGAGAATCCAAGCAGGCTCCATGCTGCCAGTGCAGAGCCCAATGCGAGGCTCAGTCTCATAAACTGTGAGATCATGACCTGAGCCAAAATCAAGAGTCATACGTTTAACCGACCAAGCCACCCAGACCCCCTGATTTGCTAATATTTGTTTTTAAGGATTTTGTGTCTGTGTTCAAGATACATAGTAGCCTGTAGTTTTGGTTTTATTTTTTCTTGTAATATCTTTGTCTGCTCTTGGTATCAGAATAATGCTCATCTCAAAATGGATTGAGAAATGTTCCTTCCTCTTCTGCTTTCTAATCAGAGAACGTGAATTTTTCTATTCTTGAGTCAGTTTTGTGTCTTTGAAAGAATTTGTTCATTTCATCTGTACTTTCTAATTTAGGCATAATTCATTCATGATATTCCTTTATTATCCTCTGATGTACATGAATTGGTGGTGCTATCCCCTCTTTTATTTCTGGTAGTAGTAATTAGTGTCTTTTCTCTCTCTTTCTCTTTTTTAAGTAGGCCCCATGCCCATTGTAGAGTTTGAACTCATGACCTTGAGATTGAAAGTAGCATGCTCTACCAACTGAGCCAGACAGATGCCCTAGTGTTTTCTGTCTTTTTATCTTGATCATTGTAGCTACAAAGTTCATTGAATTTTATTTATCTTTCAAAGAACTGGTTCGGGTTTAATTATTTTTTTCTATTGTGTTTATTTCTAATCTTGTATTTTTTCCTTCCTTTTTTCTACTTATTTTCAGTTTACTTTGCTTTCCCTTTTTTCATTCCTTGAGGTAGAAACTTAGATCATTGAATTTAGACCTTTCTTGTTTCCTAATGAAAGTATTTAAAGCTTTCAATATCCTTCTAAGAGCTGTTTTAGTATCCCACATATTTTGATATGTTCTTTTCCTTTTAAAAATTCAATTCTAGATATTTTTTATTTTCTCTCATGCTTTCCA